AAAAGTCAGCACTCTCCAGTGTATCCCTCCCCCTCCAGTTTTATGGCTATGACGCTGGCACACAGTCCCCGAGGTTTGCTAAAAACTGCAATCAGGAGCAGGAATTATTCTGCTTCCCTTTTCTTCCATAAAGCCAATGTAAGTCTGTCTTTTTTGTTATAACTTTTTCACCATAAGACTGACTCACTGATTGATATGGCCCTAAGATTAATCTGTGTATGACAAAAAACAGGCATTTTTTAAAAATTAATTCATTAATTAATTTTTATCAATGAAATGCATTTTCAAATGTTAAGTCAAATGTTTCCTAGCAACAAGATGTGCTAACTCTCGGAGCAACAAGGAGCAACAATACTGAGGCAACTTCCAAGAGCTCTGTCACAACAGTTTCCCCCTAAAATATTTCCCTGCTGTAAATGTATTAAACCTTAACCCTTTTCAGCCTTGAAGGATTCAGCAGTAAGTCCTGTATTGTATATTAAAGTTGCATAGAAATAATTGACTTTAACTTGCAGAGGTTTATTTGAAATTGTAGTTCCAGTCACAGGAGGGCTGTTGCTCTGTCATTTAGCTGCATTTTGAAACAGATCCAGATCATCTGGTATTTGCAGCTGCATTCCAAGCATAAAGTCTGAAATGTAGATTTTCATTTTACCGCTTTTGCAGCCAAAATATGGACCCAAAATGTCTATATTTTCCAATTAATCCTCATCTGTCCATCTTTTTAACCAATTCGCAGAAGGTGGAGTGGGCTGTAGCCTATCCCATCTTTCATAAGGCAAGAGGTGGGGTACGCCCACCACATAGTCATAGGGCTACAATTTATCAGTTCAGCTGAATTTAGGTCAGTTGTGTTCCTGTTGCTTGTAATGACTTGATTATTATTATTATTATTCTTAAAACATTAATATATATGACATATATATGTATATGTATACGTATATACATATGTATATGTATACGTATATACATATGTATATGTATACGTATATACATATATATATATATACACACAAGAGTCTCAATAAGTTGTCAAAAATACAGTAAAGCTATTCAAAGTTTCCAGTAGGCTAACAGTTGTGCAGGGATTAAATACACCTTTGGTCAAATGATCAGCAATTCAGTTGCACATTTAGATGGACTTTATGTTTGTAGGACACAGCAGCCTGGTTGAGAGTAAACCAATAGTTCAGTTCAAATTGCAGCTTCTGGGCAACAGGTAATAAGTGATTGGCCAGCCTTGACCCAGACAACACAAGTCTAAATCCTTCCTAGAAACCAAACAACAGCGAAGCTAATGACAGCTTCACTGTTGTTTTGTTCAGCAATGAAGTAAAACAAATGAACACACGATTTATAGAATATGTTCATTTTATGTTACACACATAAAACTTTACATGGGGTGGCTGTAGCCCAGGAGGTAGAGCAGGTCACCTACTGATCGGAAGGTTGGTTTGATCCTGGGCTCCTCCTGACTGCATGCCAAGTATCCTTGGGCAAGATACTAACCCCAAGTTGCTCTCCGATGCATCCATCGGAGTATGAATGTGTGTGAATGTAGTTAGAAAGCACTAAGTATAGAGAACGTGCTTGTGAGAATGGGTGTGATTGGGTGAATGTGGTATGTTGTATAAAGCGCTTTGAGTACTCCAGGAGAGTAGAAAAGCCCTATATAAGAATCAGTCCATTTACATCACAGTTACAAATGTTTATTAATCGTTAAGATTACACAGGTTTGAGTTGCTGTGGAACACAGAATAAAAATCAACTTGTTTAGGCAAAGAACATGTTGCTGCACTGTTTTGTTGGACTCTGTCAGACTGACATGAATTTGAGTTGAAGCTACATACATCTTTCAGTCTTGTGGTTTTCATAATTCATATTTGGAAACAAAAATAACCCATGTGTTGGAATAAATCCTTTAAACTGATGGGATTACTTGATTCATTCAGTTTTTGTCTTTGCAACTGGCAGCTTATGACCTCACGGAGACAGAAAGCTGTTTCAGCTATAGTGTCGAAGACAGCGACAAGTACTTGACTTTTAAACTTGTGGACAAAGATATGAGGTGTGAAAGCTTTGTGCCCCCCCCCCCGGCCTGCTCTCTGTGGCACATCAGGGAATGGTCACCTGCTCTAGGAGGATGCACTCCGAGCTCTTCTCACTGCAGGGCTTTTTGAAGCGAGCAGAGAGGATGAGCTGCTGCAGGCACCTTAGTCTGAGGCTGCATGATCTCTTTGCTCTTTATATATTGCCGTCTGTAATAAAGCGAGGAGAAGATTTGATCGTCTAATTCTGATTAATATAAGAATGTGTAACATTCCACACAAGTAAGTCAATACAAAATATCTTTGAAAAACCACGACTGGTTTTGGTAATCTTCCTCTCTTTTGACAGACTTCTATACACTGAGTGCCTGGCTCAGTTTATGATGTTAGTGACGTCAGTGGGATTGGGATATGCAGCGTTTTTAAAAGTTGTGGCAGGTGACATTAGACGTTTGAACGCGCTCATTCACAGCAAGGTTCGGTGATTTGACTTCCCCTGTTGGCATTCAATCTCACCTGCTTCTCTAGCGCCTCCTTCCCAGTGGTGGACATCTTGGGAGCCGGCGCGCGCTCGCAGGTGCATCCTTCCAACAGGTAAATCCCAGCAGGGCGCGCGCTTTGCTCGTTCTCAAAGTAGAACAGTACATTCTGGTGAAGGGCGAAGAACTTCTCGTGCCATCGGCTATTCTCCGCCGTCTTCTTGCTCAGGTAGCCGCGCTTAGTCCCCTCTTTACGCGCGACCGCCGACAAAAATAGCGCATGCCCTTCGTTGTAGCGGACGCTCTTCTGCATGTTGTCGTACTGTTGTGTAGACAAAAGAAAGTGCGACAACCGGTGCGTTCACTGCGAGCCCATGTTCCCCGGGGCTTGCGTGGAAACTTTGCCACAGAGCGACGGGCGGCTCAGCGGCGCCGTGGTGCATAGAAAAGTTGCCCCACTGACGGAAGCGCTTCTGCAGAGGAACTCATAGTAAAGATGCCCGAGTCCCGCATTCACTCAAATAAATCCATCCTTCGCTTTTAGAATCAAACAAATGAAAAGCGAGAGAAAGCGAGAGGCGTGCCGCTCACAGAGGGAAGAACCCTCTTAAGTGGACACAGAGTCGCAGTCCCGATAGACTGTAATCGGCTTTGGCAGTGGTTTACTCTCTCTCTCTATCGCACACTCACTCTCACTAGGTCTCTCTCGCTCTCTCTCTGGTGATGCGCGCTGATCTTGGAGTTGGCGGAATTAAAGGCGGAGCGACAGTGAGTTGGTCGATTTTGAGAGTGAGTGAGGTCTTTAAATATGTAGCTTACAGTGTAGCAAATGTGAATTATTTCTGTACTTTTTTCCAACAACAAATGTTTTGTAGTTTTGGGAATTCATTTTATATCCAAGTTAAGTTTACAGATATTTCGGGTTATTCCTATGCATGTTTTTTTTTTTAATCTTAAATAGATAAAACCTTTCGATGCTCCAGGGGGAGCTGCTGGGCGTGATAAACTCGGCGTCAGCTCAAGTTTGAAACGGAGAAAAATGTTACCAAAGTTCTGCAGTTTGCTTCTTGTCTTTGGCTGAGGGATGATGAAGGCTTTAGGCTACAGTAGACACTGTTAACACAGCTCCTGTGTAACTTGAATCTCTGAGTAACTTCGGGTTGTTCTAGAGGTCCACAAATTTAGAATGAGCTTCAAAGCAATCTGTCTGTCTTCAAACGGACTTTATTACGACAGTTGCTAATAAAATGTTTGATTTTGAATCCTATGTGGCAAGGATCCTTCAAAACCTACAGTGTGTGTGTATATATATATATATATATATATATAAACCTTCATTCATAGCGTACATATTATGTATTAATGCAATTTGCACTAATCTTTTGCAATGCCACTCTTACTTTTTATTCTTAACTTCATTTTTATTTTCTGTTTTGTTTTTTTTAATCACAGAGGCCCTTGCTATGCGCCTTGAATACTTTGACTTTAACTATGTTTTTTATTGTAGACGGTACTATTTTTATTCTTTATCCTGCTGCTGTAAGACAATAATTTCCCTTGTGGGAAATTGAAAGCATAGCTATTATTGTTATGTGTCACTGTGATACACTGTAGGTTCATATCATAATGTATGTTAGGATAGGATATTGTGTGTGTGTGATGTGTTGATTGTGAATATATATATATATATTATAGTATATATATTTATTATATAATAGCACATATATACACACACACACACACACACACACACACACACACACACATATACATATACATATACACACACATATTTGGTGCGTATTATCTGATCTTTTAAAGCTCTTTGATGGACTGTGGGTAGCTTTTAAGGAGAGACATTTCACAAATTATTTTATATTTATTATTTAAAATATTAATCAGGTTTGAAGTTGAACTTTGTTTGATTCGTGAATAAACATAACTAAACTAAACCTGCTATCATAAGCGAAGTTGCACAATTGGTTTTGTGGATGCCATATATGGACAGGAACCGAATGGAATTAAAAAATGCTAAATCAGCATGGCGTCGAAGACCAGCAAGTAAGCCAGGTTTGAATTTTTTTTTAATAATTATTAAATAACTACAATCTTGATCAGTTGGCATTATTGACGTTATGACAGTTACAGTGGAAAATGTGATGACTGTCAGAACCTGAGATGGTTAAAATCCTTTTTTCCCCACAAATCCACACGTACACACTAGAAAAGGAGCAGCATCACGTACTCCATCAGGTCAGCATATTTGTACTTTTGTTCTTCTCAAAGTATTCCCGTTCACTGGTATTAGGACTTTTTTCTTCATACAATGGTGTGAATAATGTTCCGGTGATGTCAAGAGTTTAACTGCAGCCATTTCATGAGGGACGATCTGTCGGAGATCCTCCAAAGATCTGAGAGAAGTTTCTTATTCTTTCTAAAGAGAAAGAAACAAAGACTTAAATGTTTCACACAGTATTGCATGTACAACATTGCCTGTCTTCACACTGCCCAATATGCTTACAGTCTAAACACACTGTTCCCTCACACATAGCTGTGTACAATAAAATCCATATTCCTAACCTGCAAGCTGCACCTCAAACTCCTCTGTGCGTGATTATTGTGCATTGTTTGGCTTCGCTCAAACAGAGGACAAACATTTCATATAGGGAGGATTACTCTGACAGGCGTTGTGTGAGTGATATTTCATAATGTGAGAATTACTTTGGAGGAAGCTAAGCAACACTCAGCTCCCAGCAGGCTGTCTGTTACACAGCGAGGATAGTGGCGTTTTACAAATTTACAGAGACAGAAGACTGCTTTTGGAAAAATGTGCAATATGCTGATAATTTGCTTGCAAAAAACAAAAAGAAAAAACTTGGAATTGATCATATTTCTACTTTTTAACTTGATTGTAGGCTAAATCTTTCTGATCTTGATCCTAAAAGAAAGTTCTCTGCATAAGCATTAAGGAACACAGTATTTTCACTTCCTTTCTGAAAGTGTCCAATAAAATTATCCAGTGGAAAATAGGACTGGACATATGACAAACTGTGACTAAGGCTTTTCCCCCCCCAGTTTCTTCAAATTTATGCACTGGCTGTATATATTCTGCCATGGATTTGCTTGTAGGTTTCCCTGTCTTGATGAAGGGGACAAAGTCTGCACTGATTTTCCAAGAATATTGGTACATTTTCTGATTGAGATGTGGCAGCCCAAGTATAAAATCTAGCTCATTTGAGTGTTGAAGCTGAAGTAAACATTCAGTTTCATGTCTGTAGAGCTCCCTTGAGTTTTTTAATTTCATGGCACACATTTCAACCCTAGTTTTCAGCTTCCAGGGTCTATTTTTTCATAAAACTCTCCAAAACACAGGACTGCATTTTGTAATGTATTGGAAGACTTACAGGATACTCAAACAAAATAGTATCACACTCACACAAAGTTAGAGGACATAAAAAAAAATTACTTAAAAAAATAGCAGCAGAAGCTCAGGCTTTCTGCCTTTTAGTTCTTAACATAGCTGACACTCCAAAAACACTGGTTTCTAAAATTCCCATAATTCAACTTGGCAGTCTCACTTTACCCCTGCATGGGGAAAAAGCCAGGTTATTTAGCAACACTACAGGGGTGCCAATCATTTGAAAAAAATCAAAGCAGGCATAAATAGTGCCACAAGTGTACATCATCTGGGAACAAAAGGCTTATTTCCACAGTTCATGTTAGTATTAGAAAAGTCAACACAGTTTTTGGTCTCTTGTAAACCTTCACACACATATCTGTTACATGAATTGTACCTCTGGGATTTCACCACCCCACTGATAGCTGAACAAATTCAGGTTACTGCATTGTTTTAAAGTTGGGATGCGTCCATTCTGACTCTCCATGCTAATTTCTAAAGTAGGTTTTCAGCTGAAACAAAAATTGAATGCTTTTAGAATCTACTCCAGAACTACAACATACATTGATCCTCATACTATTAAACTGATCTCAATGTGTAATTTAAGTGGAATCATGCCTTTACGAAATGGTTAAATGTGAACGCGTACCTTCTAGCGTCGACCACTTTCTCCAGCTCTCTGGCTTTGTGAGCAGCAGTGAGCAGTATAGGATCTGGGATGTCAGCCAGTCGGGCAACGTTCAGTCCATAGCTCCGCCCTGCAGCTCCTTCAGTTAACTGGTATAAGAAGGTAATGAACTCTGGCTGAACTTCTCCATCTGTTAGTGCACATCATATACACGTAATATATTACAATCTTAAAGTGTCAAGCATTTGCAAATGACCAAAGTTGAAATCATTCCAATCATTCGAAGCAACAGGGAAACCAAAAATTAATGAAAACACTGAAAACAGTGTGTACATACCATCAGTGTCAGCAGAGATATCAGGTTCATTGAGCAAGAAAGCCATGTGGTAGTTAGACACATGTTCAGGATACACCCGCTCCAGCTCACACAGAGGAGGATAATGGGTTACAAACAGGGTTAGGGCTTTCACCTAAGAGAGAGAGTGAGATGGATAAGCAATAACATCCAGAAACATTGAGTACATGGCACCTCTGGAAACTTCTTCAGTCTTTTACACTTATTCTTTAAAATGTTAAGGATCAGGATAAAAGCACAAACAGGGTCATCCATTTTCAAAAGCAACTGGTATACTGTGTGAGAAACTATTCAGTAAAAAACAGCAAGCTGCAGGTAGGGATGGCATCATTGCGCTTGAAGCTCTGCAGGCTCCCAGAAATGGTTGTCACTTTTGTTACAGAAAATGTTCTTCATCTAGGTAAACTGCAACAAAAAAAGTGAGCGCAGGCGATCCAGTGATAACATTATATGAGCCTCCAGCTGCCATGTCTGGCACGTTACTGTTTACTGACAATGCAACTATCACATTCACACCTACTCAGAAGCTCTACATAATGCCTATATATTACCAAAAAAACATCTGACTGTGGTTTGCACAGAATGTATGCATGAACTCTAAAATAAAGGTGCAAAAGCTTTCTGTGTGCATGCTGCACTGAGCTCAGTAAAACCACAGCTACCTGATGACATCAACAGAACAAATTCTCCAACAATTCAAGGTGTTGTTGCTGGGACAGTCCACTCATAACTAGTATCTACTGAAGCTTCGAAAGTGCAAAAGTTAACTTTCAATTCTGATGTTGCAACAGCTTAAACAATCTCTGTCACACCTGCAGCCCACATGAAGAGTTCTGATTAGGATGACGTGATGCTTCCTCTGCTGCCAATAATAATATTTCCTAAACCCAAGCCATCACCTAGGTTTGGCTCATTATTCCCAGCACCAATAATAATCCAAACCCAGCACATGTGGAGGCAAAAAGGCAAGCAATCAGAAAAGCAGTGTGTATGGTAAAGCCATCACAACAGCCCTGACCTGGAGAATGGCTGTACAGAAAAAAACAAGAATGATTCATTATTCAATCATTTTATGTTATGGTAACATTTAGGGAAATCGTGTTATGTTATATTCATCATGGACCGTTTTTTCCTGAGAGTTGGACAGAGATTACCCTTTGCTTAAGAAGGAGACCACCCACTTCTTCACTCCTTTCACACACGTTTATCACTGTGGCAGGACTGTAAAAGTGCCACATCATACCATTATCCTTAAGCTTGGGAGCACATTGGAACTCAGACTGAGTCAGCTTCATTTTATCTGATTGAAGCTTGGATACAGTAAATGACCGCAACAAAGGAGGAAAATTGGACTTAAAAGGGCAAAAGGAATCTTGAAATCTTTATCAACATGTTTCAAAATGAGTTCAGTTTCCAGTTTATGGAATTTATCTTATGTGCTCCATCTATAAAACAATGGTAAAATAGTTATTTTTGCACAGAGACCATTAAGTATGGTATCCACTGGTTAATTAATGCTAGATCATCAGTCTAGAGAGATAAGCGTTTTCATACCCACTGTGATGAAAATGGTCCTCCTAAAGACTAATGCACTTGTAAGGTACCCATTCGATTACTTTAAGATGGGCTGCAGATATTGAAAGGAAAGTGAAGGCTTGTGAAACAGGTGTCCAGAGGAAAGCTCCGATTAATAAGGCAGCTCTACTTGTAAACATCTAGACTTCTAGACTACAAAGCCTGTGAAGCTTTTCTATATTTGAGTTTACATTTTTAACATGCCAATATTGCTAACTGAGAAAAACAGAGTATACCCGAGGCTGCTGAGAATATCATTAATTTTGCAATCTCTGGACATGACTCAAAGTCATTTCCCTGGATGGAGAATTTAGGATGCATTTATTCTGAGCATGATGTGAAGATTTATATTCAGTTTCATCTGAATTGTTAAATCACAAATGTGGTAATGAAGCTTAGTTAGGGGATCACTTAAGTCAGTAGGAATCCTAAATGTCTATAGAATTTGTGATAATCCATGTATTAGATCAGCTGTATTTACACCGAGGCTCCCAGTGGGTCATGAAATGAATATAATGGGTCACCAGAAAATTACTTTGATAGGAAACAATGAATAACAAAAATGAGATCACATGCACATATGGATCACAGTTTAGGCTAACAACCACTGCGATCGAAGACAAAATATTAGAGGAGAAAATGGAAACTTGGAACTGCCAATGAGACCAGATGAAATTTAAGAACTGGAACTTTTGATGACCTTTAAGGCCTCTGCAATTCTTTTCTGGCATACTCACCAGTCTGTGTGCTGACATTTTTAACCACTTCAACAACAGCACTAATTTACCAATATCTGCATTTTGTTCTATCAAGTTTTTCTTAGTCTTTTGACTTAATAGTATACTTATCCATTTACTTACTTTTTTAATTTCTAAAAAAAAGAGGAAAAATAATAGAAAGACAAAAAGGAAAAAGAAAAGAGATTAAGTAATACATACTGTGCACCAAATGGTAGGTATTACAACAAATGTTAAATTATGTAACACTGTGTTACTGCAACTAAGCCAAAGCAGCAGCTGAAAAACAAAGAACAGAGCATCAATATCAACTGTTCTTTGGCTTGGCATTACTTAAGTGCCTCTGTACCCCTGCAGTATGCTGAATCAATACAAACTATTGTGTAAACCCCCCACCACCACCCTCTCCTAGTCTGTTTACTTTTTCCCCTTTGTCTTAAGGATTCCCATTTTCAGTCACTTCAGGGTTTTTTTTTTTGCCTTTCACTGTAAATACCAAATTTAGGCGTTTTAGGCTCTGGAGAGATATTCAGCAAAGTGAAGACACGTCACTCCATCCTGTGATTCTTTAATCTCCGTCAATCCTGGGAGCTATCCAAAGGCTACACGGCTGAACTGTGGCATTAAGGTTAAGACATGAAAATCACAAAAAGCGAGTGATGCATGCACTCACTCACCCAGCCTCTGTCAAATGCATGCACAAACATTTTACCTAGCGCTACTCTCTCAAGACAGCCGCTGAAAGCTGTTAACGAAAATAAATGCATTTCCTTTTCCTGATTACTTTAACAACCCAATCATGTAAATGGAGAAGTGAGTGCAGAAGTACTGTGAAAACCTTTTCTCCCACTCGCTATAAACTGATTTGAAAACTGAAAATACATTAACGACTGATATAAAAACTGCTATAATTAACCACCAAGCCCAGTGATGACAGTAATGACAAGAATGTATGTACGATCTCTCGTGGTGGAGCAGGCCTAAATTTCACATCATCACAGTAGACAGGTTGCTGCGGGAGTCCAAGCGGGCTCCAGGATCAGCCCACTAACCGCTCGCTCTAGGAAAGGTCACATGTCAGTAGTAATACATCTGTCTAAAAGAGATGTGTAGGGTCACTCCCACACTCCTCAAACAACACACGCAGTACAGTCTCGTTTTCAAAACATGTGGAGTACAGTGCAATAAAATGATGTCTAAACCAATTAAACATTTGAAAAAGACGAAATCTAAAATGTTGAATCCATGAAATTCGATTGTGTTTTGGAAATATATGCTCATAGGCGAGAGTATTCCAGCTGCAAAGTTTTTCACATTGGTAGAACAAAAGCAAGGTTGCAGGATAGATTAGCGGACGAGCAAAATTAATTACCCCACGGCCAGCACCACCTGGATTTTCATAATGGTAGCCCTTCTACACTGCAAGCCAATGGAATTGACCACATTCCTCTTTCAATACAAAGAGGTAACAGACAAAGGAGTCTTAACCAAATGGAAGCTTTGCCGATTTCTAAACTACAGGCCACTAACTGATTTTACTTCTTATTTTATAAACTGAACTGTATTGTTAGAACCATTATTTGCCTTTGACAATGGATTTATGGTTATCTGCGGCTGGTGCAGCTTTGGATTGAATTGATTGAATGTTTATTGGTATCTTTTTGGCATCTTGCATCTCCTCAAGTTATTCTGAAGACTCGTCATATAGGTGGCATTTTTCACTCTCAAAGTGGAAGCTTGCTATTGGTGGAAGTCCATATGTCGAAGGGCCTTATTGGTGGAATACCACTGGAAAAGATTAAGTGTGTTCATGGACTTTTGTTCATGAATGTTTTCTCTCTGATGAAGGCTTATATGCTGAAATGTGTTACTGTTTTAGATTTCATGCTAGAATTGCATTTCGAAAGAGGTGGGACAGATGAAAAAATAAAGTTGTGTAATGCTAAAAAAGAAAAAAAAAAGAAACACCCTCTCACAACTAATTAGGTTAATTGGCAACAAAGCAGTAACAAGACTAAGGGCATCTCGGAATTTTCCAGAATTAAAACTGGGGGCTTTTAGTCTGTGAAAGATAATGTGGGCAAAAAGTTTAAAAACAAAATACGAATAGCATAATGCCATCATTTTTCTGTCTTGCATAATATTAAAGAATCTGTGAAATCTCTGTAATTAAGGGGCCAGGACATAAACTAATACTGAGTAGCCATGATGTTTAGGCCCTCAGGCATGTAATGTAATGAAAAGAAATCACTGCATGGGTTCAGCAACATTTCTGAAAACTGCTGTCAGTGCCACTCCATCCTCAAATCCAAGTTAAAACTTCTAATAGC